TTTTCAAATTTGCTATAAAATTCAGTTACATTTGTATTAGTTTCATTAATATTGTTGTTAGTTTTAGTTTAGTTTTTATTTTGTGAACACATTTTTATTTAGTTTTTATATAGTTTAAAGACTTAACATAGCCTTAGTGAGGCAAACATCTAGCGTTTGTAAAAGTATAGAAATATACGCCAAAATGAAGCAGTCAAGCCTTTTTACTAAATAAATCTTCACAAGTTGTGCTTAATGTCATATCTAATGATGTGTATTGAGATATTTAATATGACAATAAATGTAGCCTAATTTGGTTATGATGGTTAGATGTCTTTTTTCGTATTTAACCATAATCCTGATGTTGTAACTGCCGTGTCTTGCTCACTTTTCCATGAACAACTGAGCATAAATCATAACTGGGACTAATGAAATAATAAACAATCAATAATAACGACAATCGCATTTAACAGTAAAGGCTCATATTTGAATAAGTTCTTTTCATTTATGAAGAATTATAAGCGGGTGTACGATGTGATTTAGCCTATATGTCCGAAAGCCTGGCAGAGTGATCACAAGATGCTAGGCTAAAGTTTTATATTGTTTTCAGAAAGGATGCGCGTTCTCATCTTTTTTTCCGTTAATTATCACGTTGCGCTGCGCGTCTCTTTTTTCTTCAAAGCACCAACTTAGAATGCCTAATTTTGGTTTGATTGGTTTGGTTTCATGAGAAAATAAATAATTTTGCCTACCTGATGTAATAGATTTAATGCGGGTGCGGTTTGGGTCACGACTCACGGTCTTTATTATGTCAAACGGTTCTGGTCTGGTACAGAATTAAATTAGTGCTGCTGTTGGATAACGGGTCGAGTGTTCTGTTAATTACTCCTGGTGCGTGTTTACCAAACAGGACACGTGCAGGACTCTGCTTTAAACTGCTTTGCGTCTCTCCGTCAGATAACCCCATGTGCGTGATGCGCCATTTACAGGTATTTCCCTAAGGTGAAAGTGACAAAAATGAAAGTGACGTGACATGACATGTGGCCAAGTATGGTGACCCATTCTTGGAATTAGTGCTCTGCATTTAACCCATGCAAAGTGCACACATACAGCAGTTTTTTTGCTTCTAGTGGCTTTGGCACTTACTAAATGTCTTCTGTAGCATAACATACAAGGAATGCATCCATGACAGTTCAATTTATTAATTTAGTAGTTATGTGTGTACTTTTATCTTTTTGTTAATAAAGTGTTTGTTAATTCATTTGTGTCTTTCTTGTGTTGATAATACAGTAAAGGCCTTTTCACACTGAACATGAAAATTCGACGCTTTTGAATCTAAACAATAGATACCCATGGGGCTATTCACACCAGGCGTGATCATTCGCAGTGCAAAAAAGCAAGGATTTTTTTCGTCCTGTGTATCGATTTCAACAATACGGGACGAGCAGCTGCTGTTGCACAGAAGGGAGAGATTGGTGGTGCTGTGACAGTGTAAACAAACACAGAAAAAGAGTATTCTGAAAGAGAAGAGGATTCTTAGTTCTTGTTATCATTGGTATCTGAAAACAGATTTATTCTCATGATCGTTATTTCTATTAATTCTCCACTGAATGTGATCTGAAGAGCACTGTCCGTTTTCTTCCATGCGAGTGTTATGAGTCAGAGCGCATTCACTTTCGATCTGTCAATCATGTGATCATACCTCCTGTATGAAAAAAAAAATACGTATGAAAGAAAAATTTGAGAAACATTTTTCTATACATGAAATATGAAAGAAAATAGACAATTATGATAATATATTTTCTGTATGTGATTTATGCAGCTTATGGTATTTTTATAACAATAAAGGATTTTTATGACAAATGATAAGCATGTGTCGTGTTCCCATTATAAAATAGGCAGACATGCACACTCTTTGTATATTATAGATTAAAAATACACTTTAATCGGAAGTTATTATAAGCACACAATAATGATTTAAAGTGGGTTTTAAGCAACAAAAAAAAACATTAATAATTACATACATTTTCAAATGCTTGATGGTAATTGTACCTCTTTATGTTTTAAGATTAATTCTTGTAAGCATTATACATAGTTTGTGTTTCTGGTGTAGAACCAAACTTTATTCATCCTAATTTAATGCTGTTGAGCCACAGACGATGTCAAATCCATATGCGAGATACATATCTGAGGAAAAATGCATTGCTGGTCGGCTTAGCAGAAGGTGATCAATCAGTTTGCGTTTGGTGTGAAAACACTGTTCGTTGGCGATTTACCTCGCTTTTTGTTGAGGCTCCTCAACAATATCACATGAATCCTTCAGATTGGTCAGATGACAGAATCCCTCCAATTTACAGCATTTGTATTTCTTGAGCAATCTTCTTTTATTGCTTTTCTTTACTTTTCAACTAAAATTCCTTAGCTGTTTTTTCACACTTGAATTACTCATGTCCTGCCACTCCCTTTGTGCAGATATAAAAGAACATCTGATTCTGTAAGACCAATGGAATAACAGCTTTTTATCTTCACCACATGGAGTTTGGACTTGATTCATAAGGTTGCCTTTTTCACTCAAAGCAACTATGTACATTTTTTTCCTTTTTTTATTACCTTGAAATATAGGTTTAATAGTCATTCTGTTGGTACATTGGATTACTGTGTACCCAATAACTTTTAATGTTACATATTATTTCCCAGATATTCCCAGAATATTTTAGATGTTCAAATGAAAAGTCCAATTTAAAATCATATTGCCATTCAATAAATGTGTTGAGGTGAGGTTCAGGTCCATCTGTGGTCATGAAGAAATGAAAGGTTAATGACTGAAGACTCCTCCTCAAAACACAGAGGACAAAAATGTGAAACCACTATAGTATCTGTAGTATCTATAGTATCTGAACCACTATATGAAGAACCAACTTCTGTGTTGCTGGATTAAATTCGAACCAGATTTTCAAACTTGTCTCCTTTTACTCATTGTGCTTGTATAATGACACATCGTGCATGTGACACACATGGTGAGAGAATTTTAATAATTATATTAATTACTTTATTAATTATAGATTAAACATTGAAAAAATGCTACATTTAATTTTTTACTAAAGAGAAATGCTGTTCCTTATGATGCCTGAACTAAACAAGCCCTTATCTTAATAAACTGCAAATAAAATAGGTACATTTAAAGAAAAATGTAAAGTTCATACAGACCATAAAATATTGCATACTCTATCATAAAATATTGGAATCATATTTAGTATTCACAAAAAGTATTATCCATGTAGGTGAATAGATTTCTGTGATTTGAAACAACCCACTGTCATATTATATTAACAATTTTACAAATATGTATCTTCATCATGTCAAAATACTCAATTCAAGTTTGTGTTGTTTTCTGAATGTCCGTCTCTTTTGATGTTCAAATAAACTAATTTCTCTTATATCTGCAGATGACAAATGTGATATAATTTATACCAAACGGCTACGGGGAGGGCGACACCCCATTGATTTCAATGTTTCAAGTGACATAAATAAGTCGTTACTCAAAAAAGAAACATGGAAAATCAAAAAGGAAACTACAAAAAAACCAAATATCCAACTTGCATCAGTCAATGTTGATTTACTGGACACCATAAACATAATTGACACATTTGACAGACCAGCAGATACTAGCACAAAGGGCAAATATGCTCAGTGTGGAAAATATGCATTAGGCTTCGAAGACAAACCAGGACACAGACTTCCGAAGGCTGGAGTCTATGCAGAAGCAGGAGTGGGTCGTGCTGCTGCTGAAGTGAGCGTATTAGAGGCAGAAGCCAAAGGCCCAAATGCCTCTGCTGGTGTTGGAGCCAGTGTGACTGGAGCTGGAGTGATGGCTCGTGCTGAAGTTGGCAGCGTTTCCGCCAAAGCCGGTCCTGTTGCTGCAAAACTAGGACTTGGAGTTGACACGGGTGCATCTATTGGTGCGGGTGGGCTAGAGGCAAAGTTCCTGGGAACTGGAATTACGATTGGTCCAAAAACCAGCGTATCTCTCTTGGGTTCAGAAGTCTCATGTTCAGTCATGTAGTTATTCAAGTCATCTTTGAATATCTGTATGTAATGTTTTACTAGAGGACCATAAAGACAACAATAACAAGTACATTTGACAATTGTTTTTAAAATAAATCAACAAATTAGTATTATCATGCATTAGTATTAATGTTGAACCATAACAACAGAATCGTCATTCTTTGATTTATTTGATAAGTTTTTTAATTCTATATTCTACTTTACTGTTTTTTGTTGTTGTTGTTTTTTACTTGTGTATGGTTATGATCAGGTGTGTATTTATTTCTCTTTTCTTCATTCCTTTTTAAAAGTGATTAGAAGTAGTTCAAATGAAAACGTTATTGTACAATGATAGTAACCAGGTCAGCCGCTCCCTGTACAAAGATCACGCAGTCCGTGTAGGAAACTAGACTCCCATCATCACAAGAATCACAACACCCTTAGCATTTTTCATTTTTGTATGTATTTTAACATCATGAGGGAAACTAAAACAGCTTGTTAAAAAAACTTAAATTAAAATGTTTTGCTTTCAATTGTGTTAATCAATAATACTGAAAACTTAGTCTGGTGAAGAAGACCTCTTCATCTGGAAGTCAATAGTGTTCTCAACAGTCAATTAGCACTTTTTTCATATAGTTTGGTCTTGAGAAAGAGTTTATAACTTTTGAGAAGCCATTTCAAAGGCTTTGTCTGGGTTACTAAATAGAATTTTTTGTGTAAACCTGAAGTTGTATTATTGAAAAATAGTTCAACTCTGAATTTCACCATTAAAGGAAAAACAAATATGGCTTGCGGGAATGTTAAAAACAGTTTTGATGACATTTTTGTGGAAACAATGATACCACTCAAACATTTGTATAAGATTTAAAAAAGAGAGAGAAATTAATAATTTTATTCATCATGCACGAAAGTGATAAAAAGTGAGTGAAGACATTTAAAATGATTTCTATTTAATAAATGCATTAAAGGGGTCATAAGACGTTGCTAAAAAGAACATTATTTTGTGTATTTGGTGTAATGAAATGTGTTTATGCGGTTTAAAGTAAAAAAAATATTTTCCACATTCTGTTCATTATTGTTTCTCCTCTATGCCCCGACGATTCAAAAACATTAAAACCCATTATAAACGAGGCATTCGTTGCATCCAGTGGGGACATACATTACAGACTATAATGACTTATACTGTCTTTTTACGCGTTGCATCGCGCCGCGTAAACATAAAACCATGTCTGCATTTGTGATCGGAGAAATGACAAACAAGCGCTACTCTACACTGCCCAAAACTACAGCGAGAATAAAAGTTAAAAAAGTCTTTGCATGAACATTTGGGCGGCGTTATGCAAATCTTCCCAGATAGTGACGTAGGTATGTGGGGGTGTGTTAGAATGAGGCGTTTTAGGTAGGCGTGGCTGACTCTTAACTTTTATAAAAGAGACTTTAGTCTTTGCAACTTTACAGATCTTCTTTATGCACCAAGAGCTTGTAACACTCCAAAGAGAAAGGAAAACTTGAAATCGCATCATATGACCCCTTTAACATTTGCCTATTATTTTGACAGGATAGTAGAGACGTATTAATAATATATTAATAATAATAATACTACTAATAATAATACATTTTATTTGGTGGCACCTTTCAAAACACCCAAGGACACCATACAAAACAAAAATAGAAAAAACATTAATACAAGCCCAACAAGTTATCAGTAATACAATTAAATATTAATTATAAACAAGGTATTAAACTAATTAAATATTAAGACCATAAAATCAAGATGGATATAGAGAAAGTTGTACAGGGTATGCTAATCTAGAGTCCAGTTGATGGATGTATGGAGGGAGAGTTCCAAAGACGTGGGGCAGAGCAGCTGAAGGCTCTGGGGCCTCATTTATAAAACTCTCCATAGATTTCATCTTAAAAGTGTACGTACACACAAAAGCTAGATTTTGCGTACGCACAAAAGTTTTCAGATTTATAAAACCATGCGTATGCCAGAACCTGCGCAAAAATCTCTTTATAAATCCCAGTCAGGGAAGATTGTGCGTACGTGCATCTCCACCCCGACTCCTCCCCGAAATCACCATATATGGAGCTTACAACGCCTAGTTTTACTATGCATAATCTCATCTGCATATCATTTCCATGCATATTCCCATCCATGTGACACCATGTTTAACACCGTCAAAGGTACAAGATATTAGGGAAATATGAGATAGCCTACGACAGGGGTTCTCCACCCTCTCCAAGAAGTACCCCCAGCACTGCACGTCTTGTATGTCTCCCAATATCTGACACATCCACTTCAGGTCTTGCAGTCTTCCACTAATGAGCTGATGAGTTGAATCAGGTGTGATAGATGAGGGAGACATACAAAATGTGCAGGGCAGGGGGTACTCCAGGACAGAACCACTGGCCTACAGACTATAAATGCCATTTGTGCCATACATACATTTTTATTGCTAAAAATCATCAAATATCATTGTTATGTTTTAGAATAATATATCAAAAATATTTATAAAAACAAAACTGTTAAAAATGGCTATCAGATAAATATTTTAAAATAGAGTTGATCTCATTATTTTACACTGGCCAAATAGTATTTCAATTGTTTTTAACAATTCAAATTAAATTATGCAGTTTTGCTGATAAGGTGAACATCTTTTAGCTATTTTTAGTGGAAACAAATAGGGCTATATCAGGGGTGGCGAACTCCGGTCCTGGAGAGCCGCAGCCCTGCAGAGTTCAGCTCCAACCCTAAATAAAACTCATCTGCCTGTAGCTTCCTAGGCTGTGTTCCAGTTCACTTTTTATGCCCTTCACTTGCTAACTTCCCTCTGTCTCGTTTACTCGGATGTACGTCATTGATTACTTTGCACGAGTGCCCACTACTGGCGGAACCCTTGGAATGGGCTGAATTGGAACGTCCTAAGCCCTTGATCACTTAGAATCTGCTATGGAGTTGGTTTATTGTTTACGTTTCCCCTTACAAATTTGTTTGGTGCAGCATTCTATATGTATATAGATATGCTTGGGCTGTTATAAATGTAAAAAAAATAATTGATATATTATAGAGTTGTTTGGGGTGGGGATAAATTAAACGTGATCTGCGACGACGTCATAGTCGTGTTGCATTGTGGTCTACAGCAGACTCGATCCCTCTGTCAAAATTGAGTGATCGAGGGTATGTTCATGTAAACTTGCCTCGTCCACTTGACGAAGTGGAACGCACTTCAAAATGGTGGCGGGGATTCCCCCAAGGGTAAGTGATTAGGGAAGTACGCGAGTATGTGTCTAAAAGTGAACTGGAACGCAGCCCTAGTAACCCTTCAGACCTTGATTAGCTTGTTCAGGTGTGTTTGATTAGGGTTGAAGAAAACTCTGCAGGGCTGCAGCTCTCCAGGACCAACATTTGCCACCCCTGGCAAATTTATTGCAGTGTAGCCTAAATACAATTGTCTGACTCAGCATGTCACTGACAAAGTATTTTAAAAAGGAAACATGTCAATCTTACCGTTTTCTTCAAGTTGTATCCTACAATACAGTGGTATTTTTCATAATGTTGTGGAGATCCCTTCACATGACATCAACACCTCCGTGCAGCTGCGGTTGTACAGTAAGATATTATCATTGGTCCTATTCAATCTGGATAATGGACCATTCGACCACCAAATCCAGCAGTGTCTGCCATAATATCGAAGTAAGTGCGCATCATTGATCATTGTTCTCTCTAAAAAAAATATTTTCTCATTACATGAGATCTGCAGTTTAGTTTAAAGATTAATTATTGTGCACCTATAGCACTCCTTGCTGTTATTAAAAGAGGAAAAGTGATCAAGCACATCCATTACAAATACGTCTAAATTCATATGATTTTGGTTTAACTTTTGCATAATGACTTTATGTAATTTCAGTGCTTATCTCCATAAATGAGAGTGGAATATTTAATGTAAATGTATATATCGACATGAAAACAGAGTTTAAAATCATTGTTTGCATCATTAATTTTCTCACTCCAGGAAAAAGTCTTCGTACGCATGGGTCAGAGTTTGCATGCAGGTGCGCAAATTTTCCCATCAAGTTTGTTTTTATAAATTCCACCTTTTGCATAGGAAGTGGCGTACGCCTTTTTCAGGGCAGGATTTGTGCGTACGCAACGGTTATAAATGATGCCCCTGGCCCCCAGAGTGCTAAGTCTGAATGTTGGTACAGTTAAAATTGCAGTCTTAGAGGAATTAAGTGTTCGAGGCGGAGTACAGAGAAAGAAGTAGGTCAGAAAGATATGAGGGGGGAGGGGGGGCTAGGTTATGAAGGGCTTTGAAAGTTAACAGAATCATTTTATAATTGATCCGGTGGAAAACAGGGAGCCAGTGGAGCTGGATAAGGAGAGGTGTAATATGGTAATGATTCAAGCTGCCGAATTCTGGATGGATTGGAGGCGATACAGAAATTTTCTTTGAGGTGCCAATGAGGAGGAGGGCATTGCAGCAGCCTATGCAAGAAGTGACCAGAGCATGGAGAATAACCTGTGTACTGTGCTGGGAGAGGGATGGCCGGAGTCTGTAGCTGTTGCAGAGGTGAAAATATGCAATCCGAGTGATTTTGTTGATGTTAGGTCCAAAGGAAAGTGCACTATCCAGAATGACACAGACTAGGAGAAGGTGGGAATCGGAGAGTCATCAACCGATATGGTGAAGGGATGAGTTTTGGAGAGTATATCTAGGGATGGGTATCGTTAAGGTTTTAACGGTATTACTGCTTATCGATTCGGTACTTTAACGGTATTCTTATCAGTACTTTTTGTTATATATATATATATATTAGACAAATTAAGAGCTGAATTAACATTGCTTTATATTCTGAAATGTAAAATAAATATTTAATGAAATTAATATAAAACATCAATTTGTAAATGCACCAGTGTGCAGGCATTTTTAGTGTTTTATACATAAGGTACAGTAAGAACATGAACAAAGAAAATGTAAAACAAACTGACAAATACAATAAAATAAATATACAAAT